CCCTGCCTCCTCCAACTCTCCACCTTCACCCCTCCCCGCCCCTTCGCCACGCCCCGCCGTCGACCCACCCAATTTTCGACCCGTCTCCTCCATCTCACCACTTTCTCCCCCATCTCCCCTCCCCGTCTTCGACTTGCCTCCGCCTTCGTTCCGTCCCCGCCTTTTCCCAGCCCCCGCCTTCGCCATCTTACAATAAATTTCTTTCAATAATCAACCCGGAATTCATTTTCCTCCCGTTACATACTCCCTCCCACCATGTCATCACTACAAATTGTTGAGAATAAAGCAGAATTCGTCTTCCAATAAAAATGCATTGGGGCCGCGCTGTGGAGCTGAGGGTCATCACGAAGACGTTTTCAGCTTGCCTGCGGTGCCTCCGGACTCACGTGAGAGAACGTCGACCGAAGAAATCTGACCCAGAGGTCACGCTCGGATTCGGAGAGCTTGACGCTTCGGCCACAGCTCATTTCGACATTTTTTTCTTCTCGTCTTTTATAAAGGCGGTTTGAAAATAGGTACTAATAAAACTTCCACGCGGAAGACCTCTGATTAATAAGAGAACATATCAAGATTACTATCACCTTATATGATGGCAATAAATATTATTACGCTTTGAGCAATTTGCATTTGGAATATTGGCTCTTAGCTGAGTCGTTAGGTCCGTGTAGAAAGGTGAAAACTACTCATTTCTTTTTCCCGCGGAGGTTATAAATCTTCAAAATGTCGTTGACCGGGAGGTTCTAGGGGTCAAGAGTCTACGTTAATGGACTTTTCTATGGTTCTTCCGCTCAGTACCAGGTGAATGCCAGAGCAGTACCGTGGCAAACGGGTCACAGAGTGCGCATAGTTTCCTTCCTTATACACGACTGTCCTCTCCTCTCTCTTTACAAAAACACAGTTATACCGAACAAAAACACGGTTATACTTGCACTACTCTTGCGGGACTAATGATACACGTAGTTGACGCGATCGGAAACAGTTACTACTCACTCAGGACCCCACACAGTTTGATGACAGTCTGTGAGGAAGTGGTCAGAAGTTTGGAAAGAAGAAGAGTACGGAGAGGTCCCAAAATAGTAGTTTGTGCAATTCGTTTATAATGTTAAGCTTTATTGCATGAGTAAATGTTTTGAAAACGAGCGACTTTAGAAGCGAGTTTTCAAATTTGTGCGAATGTAATAAAGCAACATTATAAACGAGTTGCGTACTATATGTTTTGTATAGAAGCATTATGCATTTATAAGATAATCAAAGTTAAATTTGTGAAACAACTTGCCTGTGACGACTCGGATATTTGACATCGTGCGAGTAAACGGTGGTCGGCTGTTCCGTTAACCTCTATCTTCCCCCGATTCTCTCGCTACGATTGGCTGAATGTGTGATGACGCAATAATTCGTCATCATTTGTGCCGTAAAATGCCCGATTATGAACGATTACTTGCAACAAAAAAGGTTCTTTTATAATGCTGGAATACAAAAAAAATAATTAGTTTAGTTTTTACATCAATTTGCACTTTCCAAAAAGAGTGGTAGGCGTTTAAGCAGTCTAAGAACACTATAAAACTTACAAGGCTTTAAATAATAAGAGTAATAAGCTCGTTTTCTTCAAAATATTATTTATTTACAGGGGCGAATCGAGAGACAAATTTTGCTAGGGGAAATCCAAAATGTTTTGGTCGAATGTGTTATATTACAGATTTTGTAAAATGTCACAGACTACGCCCAGCTTATACTGCGATACGATTTTATTCGTTTTAATAATCCGAAAATATTTTTGCTTGAAGGTTTCGTGACAAGTTAAAATTAATAGTTAGACTGAAAAATTTTAGGGGGGCGCGGATTTCCCTCGTTTCCCTCCCTGTGGATCCGCCCTTCACAAACATTGATCAGTAAAAAAATGGTTTTATTTTTAAAGGCTTCATTTTATATCGTGTTTCGATATGCAGGATATTTTATCGCCTGACACGGACTAGAAATCACCACCCCTACATAAGACCGTGACCATGCGAGCGTATACCATGAAGCGTATACCATGACGTAACTCCCAGCAGCGCAGGCAATAAGATCTTGCGGACTACATGACTGTAGAACGGAGTGGAAAGAAGTTTCAAAAAAGAATTCGATTGCACTATTTTTGTGACATTGAAGTACAAGTTTTGAAGTATCACTTTGAATAAGAATTTCTGTGGGAATTGTTTCTGACATAGACCCAAATATTGCTCAACTAAAGTGTTCCTCTCACCGCAATGTTATTCGTTGTGTGAATTACGTTCGGCCATTTTACTCGTGGACCGAAGGCACGTGTGCTTCTTGTATGTGAACCTGGCGAACGTTCCCACCGCCATATTAAAATACTGCAGACTTAGCATCATGAAACAGCTCCGATTCTGTGGTAGAAAGAAAGAGGGGGGGATGGGGCACTCATCACGAGACGTCGCGCGTGACGGTGGCGGAGGCGGCGGCGGCGGCGGCGGCCACGGCCACGACGGTTGCCCTTTGCCTCCGCGCGCTTTTTATCGAGCGCCCCGCCCCCGCTTGCGGCGGGGGCGGGAACTAGGACTGGGCGGAGCGGGGCGGGGCGGAGCGGCTTTTTGCGTTGGAGCCGGCCCGACCGGGCAGGAGGGCCTTTTCTTCCCCGACGCGTCCGCGTCTCGGCCCCCGGCCCCGCCCCCGCCCCCGCCGCGCCCGTCGCACTTGTCGCATTTCGGACCCGCGTCAACCCCGTTGCTCAGCGCTCCTCCCCTGCGCCCGCCGCCGTCTCGCCAGGCGCCTGGCGCGGAGCGCTCTGCAGGTGGGGCGAGGCCTGGGTGATGAGTGGTTGGTAATGAGATGGGTGATGTCGATGAGTGATGAGTGATGAACGATGACGATGGGTGATGAGATGAGTGTTGGACGATTGGACGAGTGATGGATGATGAGACGGGTAATGGAAGATGAGACGAGTGATGGACGATAAGATGAGTGATGGATGAGTCGACTGGTGGGTGACGAGATATTTCTGACGAGTGATGAGATGTGGGAGAGTGATGAGATGTGGGAGAGTGATGAGGTGTGGGGGAGTGATGAGGTGTAGGAGAGTGATGAGGTGTGGGAGGGTGATGAGGTGTGGGAGAGTGATGAGGTGTGGGAGAGTGATGAGGTGTGGGAGAGTGATGAGGTGTGGGAGGGTGATGAGGTGTGGGAGGGTGATGAGGTGTGGGAGGGTGATGAGGTGTGGGAGGGTGATGAGATGCGTGACAGTGATGTGGGACGAATGATGGGATGTGAGACGAGTGATGTGATGTGGGAAGAATGATGGGATGTGTGGTGAGTGGTGGGAAGGGTGGCGAGTGATGAGAATGTTCGTGCTGGGTACTGAATTATGAGTGTTGGATAGGTCAAAATGCTCCAGGTCTCCTTATAATTACATTTAATTTAGAATAAATTAGTCGCCAATAATAGACGCTTGAGTAGTTTACTCTTCTACTGCAAAATTTTTATGTATTTCTGCATTTGGCAGCCCACTCAACATTGAAATTAGAAAATTGTGAGTTCATAAACGAACAGTAGTGACATCTAAGCTTTATGCTTATTATAATGAAAGTTTTCGTAGTTTTAAATCATTTTCCAATTGTTATCACAATTAAAACAGATTAGCATTTGATATTATTTTATTTGGGCTCCATAAGAGTTATGAGATAGTAAGTGAATTACAACAATTCCTTTTCATAATTTGTTGCGTGTACAACATTTCAATAGTAGCTAAAAGTACAAAAATGTGAATAAAAAACAGACTCGTGTCTCTCGAGGTCGAGAACCACCTGATTTTTAAGGCGGCTATTGGCCCACGAAATCCACGCGTGTACAGGATACGAGTCCGGATTTTCCGTCTTCGTAATAGAACAAATTACATTCATCCTTCTCCATATTTCTTCATTTCGCAGACTGTCCTTGCGAGTAAGTTGTAGACACCGTCCCATGTAGTCCATTTCTGCTGTCCTAACCTTATCTCTTATTTTTTGTGTTCGTTTCCGCTCTGTGGAGTACTGTATTTTCTACTACACAATGCAATATCCTTTTTTTTATTCTCATTATTAAAAGTTATAAAATTGTAACAATAATAAATACGAATTTTCTCAAACGGCTTTCCTTATTAAGATGAGTCTTTGACAGTGAGCGTAATAATTAAGCAAGTGTTAAAAGCGGTTCAGTTTTTGGGATAGGAAAAATTAAATGCAAAGTTCAGGATAAAACAAAGAAAAAATGTTTACAACGTTCAGAAATCTTGTTACCTCTGCCAACATTAAATGTTAAGCGGAAGCAAAACAACATAATGGATCCTTAACATGATTTTGATGGGATGGTCTCTATTCAACCAATAACTACCAAAATATGGTAATGACATGCAAGTTTTATGAACAATGTAATCTTGAAAACATTATATCCTTGAAGTTACTGTAAAAGTTTCCCGTTAACGTCATGTTATAGCGTCGTGCACGTCTCAGACCATGAAGTCGGGGCTGTCAAGCAAGAAACTACAACTTTTTCAAACCCCAAAGACTAGTGCCGATTCTTGACGGTAAGATTGGTGTCATTAGAACCTGGAGGAAATAAAGGAATTCTCATCAAAAATTACATTTACGATAATCTAAACTGCTTTCTTTACGTAAATCCCTGATGAACAGATACCCCCTCTGGCTCCCTCTCTCTTCCTCTCGCTCCCTCTCTCTTCCTCTCGCTCCCTCTCTCTTCCTCTCGCTCCCTCTCTTCCTCTCTCTCCCTCTCTCTGTCCCTCTCTCTTCCTCTCTCCCTCTCGCTCCCTCTCTCTCTCTTTTTCTTCTATTTTTGTCTGAGGCTACAGAATCAAATTTTACATCCATTATTTCGTAAGCCCTTGACACCAAAACCATGTGGTTGCGGTAATATGACGTATTAATATCTTACTTGTTTCGATAGTCCGGCAAAGGCTGTGTCAATTAATTTCAGAACGCATCATATTCAGTATTCTCTCATATTTTTGTCTTATGGATTTTGATTTTCTAATAAATTTTCTCTCACATTTACTTTTAATATATTGTACAAGAGATCTTTCGATCACATTTGTCTGAGCATGAAACTAGTTAATGTGATGCAATTCGAAGAGTGCTAATTCAATGTAAGACAAATAAAAGTTTATTAAATATGTATACAATTATTTCTATATTAGCTATAATTACATATGCTATATTATATTAGCTTGACCCGTTATTCCATTCCGTATTTTGTAAATTATTGTTTTAAAAGAGAAATTATTTTCATACTGAAACCCAACTTCATGCCAGCACCTGAATCACAACCAGAACTGAATTGAAATATTGGAGGCACATTGCAGAGTAAGAAAAGTATGCATTTGCGCGTGAAAGTTGAACTGTAATATCCATAATCTGGGATTTTTTTTTCTTTTTCGTTTTCCGTGGTCCTTGGGAGTGATTCGCTATCCTGCCGCATTATACTCACTAAGTTTTGTGCCCAAAAAAGAAAGAATCTCTTAACTTTTCTTATAGTTTTAAATGTATGGAGTATTATTATTAATTTTATTATTAATATAAATATTATTATTAATATAAATATTATTATTAATATAAATATTATTAATATAAATATTATTATTATTATTATGTTGGAGTATAATAACTGGTGCTGCCTATTGTTTCACTCGATCAAGTGAGGTATTTAGAATATACAATATTTGAGCATTTAAAAATTATTTGAAACTTTCTAACAAATTTTGAAATTACTGTGTCTATTGTATGCAGTTTTCATTACGTACAAGGATAGTGTAAATAAGATGTTATAGCAATATTCTCTCACATTCGAGTTATTTCTTTTAATAAATTTGGAGGTAACACCACATGGCATTGGTTACATCTCCCTCTTCTTAATCTACAATCTTTAGGCCTACAGTCTTGTTGTGCCTCCTATTGTTGAAGCCACTTTTGACAGAACACCTGGAACTTCTCTTCCCAGAATATCTGAAGTCAATTACATTTTTTGCGTTGTTAATAACACTTTAAATCAATATATTCCATTATTTTGTTATTCATTAGGCAGATTAATTTAAAGGGAAGCAAGCACGAATCCCTGAGTATTTTTTTCTTCTGAATTTGAACGCAGTAGAGACTACGCCCGTAATTGAACTAAAACAGAAAGTGTAATAAACAGCAGCTCTGAGGGTAATGGGCTATCATCTTTTGCGCAGCCTACATCTGCAAAACCGTTTACAACTAGTAAACCGGTCGTCCTTCATTACTGTAATTTCCTAGTTGAGTGGTCTTTGCCTGACGCCTGAACGCAGCCACACTCCGCATCCTTCACTTGCTTTTTTTTTTTGTTGTTGTTGGGAAGTCGCGGTAATGACAAATTACTTCATCGCTAACGCCTTCAATAATTAATGCCAGAGTGAGTGAGAGAGAGAGAGAGAGGGAGAGGGAGGGAGCGACAGTGAGGGCGTGTGCCGGAGTGATTCCCCCAGATCCCTCAACACATACATCCTCCTGTTGTTACGCACTCTGCTCTAACGGCGCTAAACCACTTGCGCTGTCGCTTGGGTTCTATCTGGCACAGCGCGCTCTACCGGCCACATACTAGTTGATAAATGAGAGCATCCAAAGACAGAATATAAGGCAAATTCGTCCTATTTCGGTATGTTTGGTAATGATTTAACGACGACTGTTCAAATGTCTTGAGTCATACAAAAATCTATATTACTAATTTCAAATATTCGTGTAAATTGACGAAATCACAAAGCAGCCTCCGGACATCTGAGAGGTGAAGTACCTAGGAGCACGATTGATTAAGTTCGATTCAACATACTACTATACGATGATAAAACAAAATAAATACTTATATTATTATTATTATTATTATTATTATTATTATTATGAAAAACTTACTAAAATGTAAATACAGTAAGAATTTTTAGAGTGTAAATGAAAATAAATTAAGCACGTCAAAAGAATATTTATCATCTGTAGACACAATGTGGAAAAATACGCGAAGCTTAAAATAAATTGCGATAATTTTACTACCACAAACGCCACGTCAGATTTTGTCGGCGAGGCGATCGCTGTTGTATGAGGGTTTGGTCTTGCCTGTGACTGCCCACTTGCCTGGCACTGGAGATCGAGTGCCATTGAGTTGCTCGCGGCTCGTCCACCGGATTGGGCGCGCTCCGTCAGACAATGAAGTCGGGGAGGACGAGATTCCGGAGCGGAGATCGGCTCCTCCGTTCCCTTCCTCGCCAAAAATGGCCAACGGAATGGACTACGCCCTTGACTCACCACTGAGCGCGTTTTTGTATATTTTTTTAAATTTTTTTTTCTTTCTCCCCCAATCAAATACGGAATGAAATTCAACGTTATTCAAAGGTTTTTTTGTTTACTTTAAAATATTATTATAAATATGAAAAAAAAACCTTTTCGGTACTTTATTTCTGCTCTCTTTATTTTTATTTTTATTTTTTGCGATTCCTTATTATTCGTGTATTTTCTTTCTTCTTGAATGAAACAATAATAGAATGAGCTCAGTGGTGGTTGTTTCTTAATTCATAGTAATCTAATGTTTATGTAGAAATTAACATGTCGTTTCTGATGAATGGTAATGAGGTAATGGTAATGTATATGTAACTTCAAAATAACTTCTCCCCGTAGCACGTCACACACTTTTTTACTGTTTTTGTTGTAAATAAATAAATACAATAACAAATAAATAAAAAAATAAAAAAATCAATACATAAATTAATAAATAAATAATATTACTACAAAATATACAAAGATTGGGGCAGAAGTCATCGTAACTTTCTTTTTCTAAAAGAAATGTTATCGGACCCCATTTCATGTGTAGCGTGAAGGTAATGCTGCAGCAGGGTGTGTTCACATTAAGAGATGACTATGTGTCTCTGTCAGCACTGAGAGAAATACGAAATTACTTGTCCGACTTTCGCGCCTTCATGGAAGAAATGACCGAGAATGTCACGGGGAATTGGTGTAAGCTCTTAGGAATAACGCCATTCCGTACCGGACAGTCGCGAGATGAATAAGAGTGTTTCTGCGAGGACGCGAAACAACCAATGATCAGCAATGCACGTGACGACCTGTGAGTGAGATCGATGTGGTACGTGCGGTAATCAAGAATCTGCCTATTCTAGACTTTAGAACGGGAATGAAACGATTTTGGATCGTTGTGAGCTCGTATATGCTGAAATGCTTTGGAACATGAAATCAATACTGTCATTTCAAATACCTTA